TGTGCAAAAAACATTATCATTAATAAATGATACATAAACAGAAATATCTAGCAGGTTTGGAGCTTTTTTCTGCACCTGAGAAATGCCACACTCGCTTAGCCCTGTTTAATCAGCTTGAAAGCAATGTCCAACAGCCACTGTTCTTGATCTGGTTACAAGGAATTAAAAGTCTGTGCAGCTTAAAATATGCCAAAACAATCTGAATTTCAATTATGTTCATTTGAATTATAATATTTTTTTATTTAATCTGAATTTCTTGTTTTGAATTTAAGAATATTGAATTTGATGTTTCGAATTTCTTCATCTTGAAAACCTGAAACTGCATTTTAACAAACTGGATATCTGCAGTCTATGAATTCATAATAAAAAAAAATCTGACTCATTTGTCTTACATTTTAGATGTTCAATGTTCAGGTTAATGAATTAAAAAAAAAAATTCAAAACAATTTTTAATGGCAAATGACATTACATTTCATAGAAATGTATTGTCAAAACAATACTTTCCATGACAATTAAGGAGAAAATATGTTCTACAAGATTTCAATGAAGAAGAAGCAAGAAAAATAAGAGAACGATACTCAACACATCCGGTTCTTCCAAAGGCTAAAGAAGTAGCATTCAAAATTTTAAATGACATTTACCCATCTAATCATTTTTTACATGGAAACTTTTTTAACTAGGCCAACAATTCATGCAGCTTTTGTAAGAAATATATTGAAACTGTAGAAAATATCTGTTTTTCACTGTGAAGTTATAAAATATTTTGGATGGAATTTCAGAACTGGCTGCATTCCAAACAGATACAAATATCTAGGGGCGGATTGGCCATCTGGCATTGGCCAATGGGCCGGATATTTTTTAAATGTGGGCCGGTCAGTTTCTTAAAAAAAATAAATAAATTGTATGTATTGTTTTTACATGCAAGCAGCTTTTATCTTTTGCAATATGTGAATATGATGATGATGATAAAGATAATAGTAATAATAATAACAAAAGTTAAGCATTTGGCCCAATCAACAATGGTCAGCTGGTTTCAAGATGGGCCAACCTAATCAGAGGTTACGCAGACGTAATCGAAATCTAGCAAGAATGTCAAACAAACAGTAAGTGCAGCACAAGCTAATTATCAGAGATGGACCGTAAAAAAGGAAAGGCAGTGCCCAAAAACTCAGAGAAAGCAAAAAAAAAAAAAAAAAAAAAAGGCTCAAAAATCAGACTCTACCGAATGCAAAAAATAACAGAAATATTTTCGAAAGGGGGCAATGCATTGGCGCAGTGGGTAGCGCTGTCGTCTCACCACAAGAAGGTTGCTTGTTCGAGCCTCAGCTGGGTCAATTGGTGTTTCCGTGTGGAGTTTGCATCTTCTTTTCTCTTTCCCCTACAAGTCCAAAGACATGCACTATAGGTAAATTTGGTAGGCTAAATTGTCTGTAGTGTGTTTATGGGTGTTTCCCAAAACATATGCTTGATAAGTTAGTGGTTCATTCCGCTGTGGCGAGCCCAGATTAATAAAGGGACTAAGCCGAAAAGAAAAGGAATAAATGAAATGAATGTATAATTTTGCTATAAATGGGTTGTTTTTGTTTCAGTCACATTAAATGTTTAAATACATATTAGACTTGGTACTGCTTATATAGTTTTACCATCTATACACGAATATAAGTAGTGAATGTGCGTGTCTGTGGGTGGGGCTGTGTCGGTGTGGTAATGTGGCCTGGTGTGGCTACAGTGCCAGGTCAGATTTTTTTTGTCCCAGTCCGCCCCTGATCCAAAGATGTTCATGTGATTTTTAGGACAAATGGCTGGGTTTGTCACTCTTGCGGGTCCATTTCCATTGTGTGTTTGTTGCAGCACATTTCTGTACGTGCATTGTCGCATTGAGATGTTGATTCATCTCAGTGTTTTTCTAATGTTTTATTTGCAGCACATTTGAGCTGTCTCGGCCACCATAAAAATGTTACCAACCTGATAATAACTTATTGCTAGCAATGAAAACTTTAGACACTCGCTGACAAGTATTAAATTAAATATGGACCTGGATAGCACTTCAAACATTCTAGTTAATATGTTGTAAACAGTATCGCGTTAGAAAGGTAACGACTTAACGTTAGTAGATCGTGCCATGCTGGAGTTTACCGTGCCGTAAACGTGCCCAATTTCCAGACACCGAGGTGAAGAAGAAACTGTTGAATAAAGTCATTATTTTTGTTTTATCTGCGCACAAAATGTCTTAGATTAAAAATGATATTGAACCGCACGTTTTCTGGACTCTGAATGAGTCAGAACCATTACGTTTTCAAATTTTACCAAAATATCTTAATTTTTTTTTCTGGAAATGAACGAATGTATGGATATTGAACGTTTGAACGGTTTGGAAGGACATGATGGTAAGTAATTGAAAATATGATTATCATTTTTGAGTGAACTTACTCTTTCAAACATGCCGGAAGTTGATGTGTTAGCAACTTCTAAACACGTAAGTCAAACATGTTAAGCAAACTAAGTTAGCTAGCAAGCCTAACCATATGTAGTTGAAGCATCGTTAACCTTTATGAGTAGGCTATCTATCTATCTATCTATCTATCTATCTATCTATCTATCTATCTATCTATCTATCTATCTATCTATCTATCTATCTATCTATCTATCTATCTATCTATCTATCTTCAAGCTTTAAAAGCGTTCAATTTTACGTTTTGCAGCGTGTTTAACTTTAACTAGCCTATATATTTCAGCTTTCTTAAACATTGACGCTCTTGATCTGCAAGGTTCGCACAATTAGGTGCTTAAAATGCTGAATTTGGCGTTTAGAAAGGCCTGGAAAACTGGCTTTTGTTGAAAAGTGCTTAAAAGTGCTTTAAGTAAAAGGAGAACTTCTATGCAGTTTTCTCGCCGGAAAAATAAAATGCAACAGTCTGGCTGCATATTTGAACTTGCACTTCCACTCTTTCATGATCGGACTTGCACGCTCAGGCAGCCGCGCTTCTCTTAAAGTTATTACAATCGCCACCTGTGCAGAAGAAGTGACAGAAAAATTTTCCAAAATTGTTGCTCTTTTTGTCTCTTCAATTTCTTTTTAACATACTGTGATTGTATATTATCACTTTCGTATATTAATAAAAAAAAAATAATAAAATGACAGAAAAACAACAACCGAAAAACAAGTGTTTTGTTGGAATAATGCTTTTCGGATGTTTTCACTATAGAGATGCCTATGTTATTAGCAAGAGTAGGCCTAATTGAACCGCGGACGACGATCTACACACGCTGCTCTCTTCTCCCCGACAGCGAGTTTGATCGCCTCTGACCTGTCACTCTCCAGTCTGAATGTCGGCGCGGGAATGCAGGTAGTGCGCAATTACTCATTTCTGCAAATGTCGCGAGTGCTTTATTTTAACATGAGAGCGCAGTCATGTACGTTAATCGAAAAAACATATGCGAGCTCCTAATTAAGCTTTTTAAAACGAACGACAAGTCCTCTCATCATCATCATCATCATCATCGCGTGTGTGCACTCAGACTGTTATAGCTATATATATAGCTATATATATATAGCTATATAGTCGCGATCTCTTCGCTAAAGTAGACATTTTTTATCTTTGCTCCTTAACTAAATTTAGTCAAAAACTATCAAGCATTTAGAATTAGCTCATGACAGATGACAATGCTGACGGACTTCTTATTTGGCTGTATCGTGAAGTGAAACTTATACTTTTAGCAAAGGTGAAACTTTTTATTTCTTTGTGACAAAAAAAATTATGCTAGACATGTTTCTGCTGAGGTATTTGTGTGATTTATACATAATAGCTGTATCCTGATCTGTCTTAAAGCATCACTAAATTGTACAGCCATTACAGGTCAAAGCAGTCTGTTAACATACATTTATCAAAATAAACAATAAGGCTCTGCTTTGAGAAATGTTGTCATATTTCAAATAGCTCAAGTGAAACGAAGTCAATAGTTTTATTGTTTTATCCCGATGGTGTACTTGTCTTTTTTGTAAAACTATTTCAGTTTAAGATCAAGTGTAAAATAAAATGTCCATGTGATGTACAGCTGATCAAGAAACAAACTTGTTATATTGTAAAGACAAGAATGAGCAAATAAGGAAAATAGTGTAGAATATGTAAATAAAAGGCTTAATTTAAATCTTTTTATCATATACTTTAATTAAAACTTGAAAATATGGTTTTAAAAATGGACAAGTGTCTCTATGGCCTTATAGAGCATGTGGTAGTTTTGCCAGTGCTATTGAAAAAGATTAATGAAAGGAATTATCAAGCAAACTTCCTTTGCTATTCCTATATTTGTATCTTTGTGTTTTTTTAATTGTATAGATTTTTTTTTCAAAAGTAACTAACTAGTACTGTGAATAGTTTTTTTTAAAAGAACACTTTGTACTTTTACCTATTATTAGTGTTATTTACAAAAATGTAAAAAAAAAAAAAAAAAAATATATATTTTTTTTCTTTTTTTTTTTTTTTTTTGCGGTGTAGTGCTATTTTTACTTGAGTACAAAAAAAAAAAACATTTCACAAGCACATTTAGGGCAGGTTGATTATATTATTAATTATCAATATATGATGAATTAATTATTATACTATTATTACTAATGTTTTTATTTGTCTAAATTCCTATGCAATGTTTTTATGGGTTGCTGACAATACATTTCAGGTGTTCCATATGTTGCATGTCAGTTTTGAAAATAAAAATGCTGGAAAAAGTGCTTAAAAGTCCTTGATTTTCGTTAGGCTGTGCCTGTATAAACCCTGTATCTGATAAGAAGGCTTGTTTTTCCAACTTTGACGCCTTGATATGATATTGCATAAACCTCGTCAGATCAGAGACCAGATTCACAAACCAAACTTTGTGTGGTCGAGACGCTCAGTCACTGGTCTTGCGGTGCTGAAGGGCTGATTGTGCTTATTTTGAGCACGATGGACAGACTTGAGCATCCGAGCGTGTCATTATGATTTCCATGCTCATTTTGGACGGTGGGAGAGTATAGCGGGTCACATGTGCACCTCTTCTCCCATCATGTGTCGTGCTCTCACGTTATTTAAACCAGTGAAACTGCGAAAATGAAACACTGTACAAGATGATACAGTTAACATGGAGTGCTGTCACTCTCATGTACCTGTTCGTTTCCAATGGCGCATGTGCCCGGAATGTGTCACTGAAATGCGTGGACGACACAATGGGGTTCCTGATGGAATTACAGAAGGAGACTCCAAGCAAATTTGCTGTTATAAGTAAGTAATAATGACAGCATATTTTTGATATAGTTCTATATGTGACTTGGTTCAAGTTTTCAGACTTTTTCAGATTGTTAACAGTGTTGGGGGTCATTTACATATTTATTTAATAAAATACTAATGTTGCATTGGGAAAGCATTTAGCATATCTTGTAGATATTATTTTATTATATATATATATATATATATATATATATATATATATATATATATATATATATATATATATATATATATATAATGTGCATTTTTAAATGTTTTTTAAAGAACTTGTGATTTACCAACATTTATTCAAATGTTTTTAAATGTATGGTTTTATACACAGTTATAAGTATTTAATACATTTTAAATAATAAAAATAGTCATGGTGCAATTATTTTGTCTTCTCCAACAATTTCAATTAAAACAATTTACATTAGTAGATTCTTTAATGTAATATTTAAAATATTATTATGTAATAATATGTCATGCTATTATTGTATTGTTTTAATGTAATGACATACATACTATAAATGAGACATTTAATTTAATAGATGTAATAAATAAGTTTCCTTCATTTTTTATGTTATTTCTTATCCACTTCTTGTAGTGTATGATGCGTTTGGTAAGATAGGCAGTGATGTAGAAGGAGGAAATGTGAATCGTCCCGGATCTCTCAGAGAGTGTCTGTCTGTGGAGGGACCGGGGTTTAGAGGACAGTATTGCCAGGTCTTTCTCAAACAGGTACATTTTTTTTTCGTTTAACAATAAGTGTATCTAGTACCATGTAGTCAGTAGGTTGTGTTAAGTCTTGATTTTCATATATTGGAATATAAATGAGCAACTTAATACAGTCTTTAATTCAGATGAAAGAATGATCCCTGGTGATATTTTTCTGTTTTGCAGGACAAGGTGGAGTATTTTGTGGGTGTTTGCGTTCCAGACTCTTGTACAGATTCTGAAGTGCAGACATTAGTTATTCATGGTGAGTTTAATCAGTGGTTCCCAAAGTGGAGGTCGCGGGACAATGTCAGGGGCTTGCTTGGTGATTTCTAAAGTCAAATAAATTTGATTAAATAATTAGAATTATCTGCTGCAGTAGATTGATTGTATTACAATAATCCAGATCTCAGCAGCTAGGCTAGTCACCCGCTCGCGTGCTTCTGAACACACAACTCCAATTCTCTTTCACTTGCATTTGCTTCCTGTTCTATATCATGTACAATATAAAATTATTTTATTAACTTCCAAAGCTCTTCACAGCCTTGCACCTGATTACCTCTCTGATCTTCTTCACTGGTACACTCCTCGGTGCTCACTGAGATCTTCTGCGGCTAAACTGTTATCAGTTCCAAATTTTAAGATGAAATCATTTGGGTGGCAGGGCTTTTAGCTGCATAGCACCACAGTTGAGAGGGGTCTGGATGCAGACCTGGTGCAGTGCAATCTGAGCTGCATCCAATGCTTTTTAATGCGCTCACCAAACCCCACCCCTAACCCTACCCGTCACAGTGACATCACTCACTCCATTGAGTGCATTGTGTCTGACATTGCATCGTTGAGGGATGCAATCTCAGCTTGCATCATAAAGGCTGCATCCAGATACAATTGCCACAGTTAGATATTCATCAGGTGGACTCTTAACATTATGTTTATTACTCTTCTGTCTTGTTTTTATAATGTGCCTGTGACATCCTGTAAGGTGCCCTTGAGTGCTTTGAAAGGCGCCTATGAAAAAAGGTATTATTATTATTATTATTATTATGGCACCAGGTTAAACTTTGACACCTTTATGGCACTCAAATACATTAAAAATAAATACAGACAACAACTGAACAAGTTGTGGTCTCCAAAATGCAACCAATATTAGACATGTGCTGTAAATATTGTGCCCACCAGTCTCATTAGGTGAAGTTAATATTGAATTAAACAAATGAATTAATGACTATAAAAAATGATATATTTGTTGTTAGACTGTTACACTTTTTACTGTATATAGGCCTATTGTGTGTGCAACGTTTCTATATTTACAGTATACTCACCTCCAAGAATAATGTGGGTCACAAGCCACTGGCATTGTTATGTTGGGGGTTGTGGGCTGAAATGTTTGGGAACCCCTAAGTTAAATGAAATAATGATGCAAATGCACATTTGCAAATGTGTTTGTCATTACATTAGATAAATGACTGAACATTGTGTAATTTATTGAAATGCAGTTTACAAAATGTATAAATATACTGTGCATAGTGTATAGTATGGTGCATAGTATTTGCATAGTGCATTCTGTCTACATTTGTGTGTTTGTGCCTGCAGAAGCGTTTCAGAAGCAACAAATGTCTTTGCTTCCCTCTGTGCCTTCCATTTTAATTCCGGATTCCACATTGGGCATATTTATGACTCAATGCCACAGTGATTCGCCCAATATAGACCTGTCTGCTATAGTCTGTCTGTGAGTATCACACACATTCTATACTTTTAAAGGGGTGGTCCAGAGTGTATTTTTAAGGCTTGGTTGTGTTTATGGGATGCAAAGCAATGTGTGCTTGAGCTTCATTTGTAAAAAAATCTGTTTTTTTCATATCTTACTTTAATTATATACTGCTACTCCGCTAATATGAAAACAACTATTAAGTTTTCTAGTGAGATATATCCTAAAAGGCTCTGATTGGTCAGATAACATAGTGTGTTGTGATTCGCGGATTGGCTCTATGTCACCAGGAAAAGCACCTCGCCTCAATTAGCACTCACTTTGCTGTTGTTTAAATACTCTCAGTCATTGTCAAACTGTTAGCCTCATCAGTCTGAGCCTGAATCAGACAGAAAATGAAAAGGACACAGCTGAATCTCATGCCTGCTCTCTAAAATAAAATCTGACAAGTGTTTTTTTATATATATTCGGGTAATAAGCATGTGTAAGTAAAATAAAATAATTTGCATATATTTTGCGAGTTTGTTATTTGAGATGTAGAACGCAGGGAAAGCGGCCGCATAAAGAGACACTGCAGCTCTGGTGAAGACTGTGGGTGTTTACAGCGCTTTGACAGATAAATATGTATTTGTAGCTAAATTGTTAATGGTGCCAAACTGCATTTTTCATTGTTTACGTCCTTGCTACAACATACCGTTAACGCTAGACTCTATGCATATAACAGATAAATTTTAACAAATAAAAACCAGCCTGATCTCACGAGAAAACGTAAGTATTTTACGTTTTGCCAGTTTAGGGGCTAATTCGTACGAATTCGTACGAGTTCAGTCGTACGAAATGGTACGATTTTAAAAAGAAGGCGTGGCACCTAACCCCAACCATCATTGGGGGATAAGCAAATCGTACTAAATTGTACGAATTAGATCGTACGAATTCATACGAATTAGCCACTAAATGAAAAAGTTACGTATTGCCGTGAGATTGTGTTGATAAAAACACTTACAGGTTGTGACTCAAAATCCACAGCTTTGTCTATTATGTTTGGAGCTGCTCCTGCTTTGAGGAGTTTTAGCTAAATCCAGCACTGAACTGGGAGAGATTCTGGAAGCTGTCCTTTGTCAAATGCTAGAGCTGCATCTTTTTTATAATTCTCTAGAACATAATTAAAATTAAATTGTAAGCACTATACATGTATTTTAATAAATATGGAAAACGAATGCATATTTTTACCAAAACTAATATTGGATTTTTAAAAAATGTGCGTGTAAAACAATATAATTTGCACAAAGAAATTATAGGGTTCCTCTCTAAAGAAGTTGTTACTCCACGCTGTTTAGAGCATCATTATGGGCATTTTACATTATAACAAATATGGTTCAAACGATGAATCTGCGACAGAGAAACTATGTGTTTTGGGAAATAGTCGTCACTACATCATTCTTTTCCCAAACGTACATCATACTATGATAATTCAGCAGCGAGTTACGTGGTTGTTTAGGAAATGCATCCTTGTGTGGTTTCTTGTAATATTCTGTATAGTTGGTTAGATGCTTTGAGACTACATTTACTAGGATGGTCAATGGTCAAAAGACAACGCCGATGGTCAATAAACAACATGATGCTAAGCCGGCATCGCTGATCCTCCGCCCTGCCCCCGTCGCAAACCCACTCACGAAAAATACACACTCAGGCCCCGTTTACACTAATACGTCTTAGTATTAAAATTGCATTTAAAAAAAAAAGATCCACATCCACATTGTGTTTTACCTAGCATTTCTGAACAGCCCTCCTTCCACTTAAAACGCACATTACGTGACCACACACACACAGCCACACACTGTCATGCGCTCGTAGCTCCAGAGAGCAGTGCACGTCGGAAAGTTTATCAAGGATGTACCGCTGGATCGTGTCTCACTATAGTTGTTAAAGGTGATTTTTAATTAATCTTGTCTCTATCTAACAACTCTTTGGTCTTTTGAATCTATCAGGTAACGTGTCACAGCATCAGTACACTGCTTCAGTCTTTCACTTTCACACTTGTACTTAGTCATTTTAGTGAAAACCTCAAATACTGTTGGTTGTGCACCTTTTTTACCGACCAACCTCTTGCGGAAAAAGTGATTGACGGGTGGTAGTTTGTTTGCTAGGTAAATAATAGTTTATGAAATGTAGATGAAATGTATGATGTTACTGGGTAAATATGTTTGTTTTTGGGTTTTTGTTTTAGGTCTGTGTGCTGTGCATTATTGGCTCTTCCTCTCATAGCTTCCATCTTTGTGGCATTGATAAAAAGGAAGCAAATGAGAGAGGTGGCGCCAGTGGTGGGATTAGCTCAAACCTCCAACTCAAAACAATACGGCACTGTCTTGACTAATGGCTCAGCCAATCAGAATAAAGAATGCAGTCCCGACCTAGACACCACACAGACAAAGACTCAGAATGCAGAAAGCAAGCAGCAGAGCCTCTCAAAGAGCAAGTACTCGCACACACACACACATACAGATACTCATTTTAGATTTTATAGCAAATGTGACTTCTCTGATTTGAGCCGTTATAATTGATTATTTTGCATTCTCCATGCCTTTTCCTCACATTTCTCCCCTCCTCTTCTCATTTTGCGTTTTCACAGCTGTGGTATCATGGCTTCAGGGATTCTCAGTGCAGAACTGCAGTCAGGGTTTGCTGGATACAGAAGGCTCTGGAAGGAGTTATTCGTCTCTGAATGGCATCCGTATCCTCAGCCTGTTCTGGATCATCTCAGGCCACACTGTGCACTTCAGTGCCTGGAGCCACCTGGGTGAGAACAAGGGCATTCAGACTGAAATACAGGGTGGTTGAAAATAGAGCTGCACCATATATCGTTTCGGCATCGATGTGCGAATATGCAATAGTCAAATCTCAGAATCTTCACCTTTAAGTTGTGGTTATAGTTACAAAACAGTTCAGAACACAAGCAAAGTGTAACCCTACTACAGGACGACTACAGAAACAATAGTATTTTTTAAGATATGCAACTGTGTAAGATTTCAGGTTAATTTAAGCCATTTTAGCCAAATGTGTAGCTTTGACAAAGTTTAATTGTATTTTGCCTAACACTAAATATTATACAGGTACAGTGTTATTTTACATTCCATTACATTGTTTAATTACCTTACATTGTTAGTACTGTCTATTTGTATCTTTGATCATATATATTTATTTATACGCTCTACACACTCCCTACAAAAATCTTTCCTATAAGTTATTTAAATCATCTTATGAAATTATCTTAATGTTGCAATATATACTGTACAGTTGAAGTCAAAATTATTCGCCCTTCTGTGAATTTTTTTTTCTTCAAATATTTCCCAAATGATGTTTAACAGAGCAAGGGATTTTTTTACAGCATTTCCCATAATACTGTTTCTTCTGAAGAAAGTCTTGTTTTTTTCAGCTAGAATAAAAGCACTTTTAGTTTTTAAAACCATTTTGCTATTTTGCTAGTTAACACACTCAATGCATTTTTTTTCAAAACATCCCATCATTTCTAAAATATCAACCTCTACCAAATGGTTAATATGTCGCCTATGGTAAAAGTACCAGAATTAATACATATACTGTGAAAAATCAGAAAATATAAAGTGTAAGACCAATTTATTAAAAAAATAAATAAAAATAAACATTTTTGAAAACAATCACCTTTTTTTGTATAAAGTATGACATCAAATATTTCAGATTCTCATTTAACATGATTTTGGTTTTATTGTAAAAAAAAAAACAACAACAATAAAACCAAAATCAAGTGTAGTGGTGCAGCATGATTATGTTTGTTTGGTTTTTGTTCTAAACCAGCAATGCTGTGTGTGTAAACCATTATTTAAAACAGTCATTCTTTAAATTACTTTTACAGTCATTATTTAAAACAGTAAAAACATGGTTAACCTTTTGGTTGAGCAGGCAGTCAAAGGGTAAAGCAATATTTTCATTCTAATATTTCATATCTAGAAATTTAAAATGTAAAGTTTTATGTACTGGCAAGATCACCGCATTGCCTGAAAATGCGGCCTAGAAATATATGTGTAACATTGTTAACCTATGTCTAAAACTGGAGGAACTGATAAAACAATGGTTTTAAAATCGATCTTTTTTTCCTGTCTTTTGTCTTTTTTTCTGTTTTGTTAGCCTTTTCTGTCTTTATAGTTGTTGTTGTTGCTTCTTGTATTGCTTTGTGCTTTAAGGTCAAAATAAAAAATATAATATAAAAAAAGGTTATATACTGTCCTCATGGGAAAGACAAAATAATTCAGTTATTAGAAATGAGTTATTAAAACGTTTATATTTATAAATGTGTTGAAAAAATCTTCTTTCTGTTAAACAGATATTGGGGAAAAAATATAATTCTGACTTCAACTGTATATTGCAAACATATAAATTTTTTTTAGTTTTTTCCAATATTGTGCAGCCATAGTTGAAATGTAACTAGGCAATATTTAAAGAGTTAGTTTACCCAAAAAATAAATTTCGTCATTAATTACTCATGTTGTTTCAAACCACAGATATCTTTATTAATCATCTAAACACAAAGTATTATTTTATTATTTATGTAAATATAGATAGTTATACACAGTTGAAGTCATAATTATTAGCCCCCCTTTGATTTATTTAAAAAAAATATTTAACCAAGCAAGGAAATTTTCACAGTATGTCTGATAATATTTTTTTTTCTGTAGAAAGTCTTATTTGTTTTATTTTGACTAGAATAAAAGCCGTTTTACATTTTTTAATAACCATTTTATGTCAAAAGTATTAGCCCCTTTAATTAGCCCCCTATATTTTTTTCCAATCGTCTACAGAGCAAACCATTGTTATACAATGTCTTGCCTAATTACCCTAACCTGCCTAGTTATCCCAGTTAAGCCTTTAAATGTCACTTTAAGCTGTATAGAAGTGTCTTGAAAAAATCAAGTAAAATATTATGTGCTGTCATCATGGCAAAGATAAAATAAATCAGTTATTAGAAATGAGTTATTAAAACTATTATGATTAGTAATGTGAAATCTTCTCTCCGTTAAACAGAAATTGGGGGAAAAAATAAACAGTGGGCTAATAATTCTGACTTCAACTGTATATATAGTATATTTTAGATGAAATCCAAGAGCTCTTTCATCCTCCATAGACAGCTATGTTCAAAGTTTATAAAAATACCTAAAAACTTTCTCAGAATGGTCCATATTCCTTCAGTTGATCAATCTGATCATTATGAAACAATGAGTATGAGCAGACACAACACAAAAATAGTGAGTTTTTCCAACAGTCTCTTCTCCTCAGTGTCAGTATATTGTGCACATTTAATAGCACTGTGCTCTGTCTGATGTATGCTTTGCCTTTTGAAACCAAGCACATGTACCCTATACTAACACAGAGGAGAAGAAACAGTTGAATTTAGTCATTATTTTTATTTTGTTTAAAAATTATTCACAGAGTGAATGAACCACTGAAGGCATATGGTCTGTTTTGAGGATTTTCTTTTATACTATTCCCAGATTTTGATAAAATACAACCATTATTGTCAATGGACGATGAAAGAGCTCTCACATTTCATCAAAAATATCTTTATTTGGGTTCCTAAGATCAAAGGTCTCAGGGAACCGGTACAACATGAAGGTGAGTGATTAATAATATTACTTCAATTTTTAAGTGAACTGATCTGTAATTTCTAATCCTTAATCTTAAATCCCTAATTGCTACATAACTTTTAATATCACTGGAATCAGGATGACAACTCCATAAATCCTCTCTCAATCACTATATTTATCTCTAAATAGAGCATAATAAGTTGGATTTTATATTTACCAAACATTAATTCAGGGATCTCCTACAAAAGGCAGTATTTGAAATTTTATTACTTTTTATTAGAAAAGTTTATTACCAATTTTTAATGTCTAGTTATTTTTTCAGCCAGCCTGTATATGTGCATTGCTGTAATTGTGAAGTTTTGTCTGTGTTAAAGCTTCCCCTGATTTATTTTTTGCTTTGTTTTTTGGATGTAGATAATGAAAAGAGGTGGAAGGAGATGGTGGAAAACAATCCTCTGTATGTCTTGACCTTCAGTGGGCCTGTGTATTTAGCGGTGGACTCCTTTCTGGTGCTGGGGTAAGGGTGCATAAACAACAGCTCATATTTGGCCAACATATAGAAAAACATATTAGAGCCAATTCTTAGCCATGAGAAAAAAGGAGTAGGATTTTTTAATCTATACATCGCTCAATGGTCATAGTACTTCCTTTACTTGTTGTTATATTTAAACTATATAAGTAGGAAAAAAAATAAAATTATTTGAAATTCAGTAGCAAATTTTCTCTGATGGAAGGAGGCATTAATCGGTCATCAACATTAAACTGAAATAAAAAAATAAATAAAGCAACATTTATTTTACAAAAACTAATGAAATAAAGAAAATTAAATAATTGTTGAGTTGGGTTCCACAGCAACATGTTACTGTATTCTGACTACATTTTTGGGGAACGCAGTAATGTAATAAATGACATTTTAACTAAAGTCAATGTAATTGTGTTACTTGTCTTACAAATATTGTTTTTATAAGAAAAGAAAATGCCTATTCGTTTACCGCTGCACCATCAGTTATTACGCATGCACTGTTAAATTGCTGAAGAACACGAGCTGAAATGGTTTCTGTCGAGAGTGGTTGCTTCTTCAAGTGGAAGTACAGACATTACTTTGATTTTATTGAGCGTAAAAACCAAAATATTGCTGTGAAATGCAGACTATGTCCAGTCTCTAAAGAACTTTTGATTGCTTTTAACTCGACCAGCAACTTCTTTCAGCACTTGAATAGAAAGCATTTTATGACAATACTCGTCACCAAGGAGGACACTGTTGCCCAAAAACACGGCGCTCCAACTCAGCCTAAACAGGCTAAATTGGATTTTTGTGCTGGAGCGGGAGTGAATGTGAACAGAAGCTTAGCTGCTTATGGGCCGTTCACATATCGCGTCTTTTGTGCGCACAAGTTTTTTCCAATGGAGGTGTGCAGTTTGCACGCACATATTGGGAGAGCATATTGCGTTTGCTTGCATTTTCCAGAAAACTGATCAGCTTCATATTTTGTTTGAAATATACACATTTCAGTAGACTAATAACTTCAGACAAACACACATTCAAATACTGCAGTGCTTTTTTATACTACGGATGTCAATGGTTACAGGTATCCAGTTTTCTTCTAAATGTTTTCTTTTATGTAAAAAAAAAGGCAAATATGTTTGGAACAAGTAAATGGTGAGAGAATTTTAAGTTTTGGGTGAATTATCTCTTAAAGCCTTTTGAATATGTCAAGCTGTTCAGAGCAACCCATTGTAATTTGTATTAGTGAATATTAAATTACTGAGCTGCAGTTTGTTTATTCTGTATTTTTATAGGTATATTTTATGTTTTAAAAGTAACTTCAAAGTAAAGTAATTAGTAATCTGATTACTTTTCACATTAAGTAATGAAATCAGATCACAATTTTCCAGTAGTAGTCAGTAATTTATAATCTATTACTTACCCAACTTAAAAATGTGCTAATTAGTTTTTGCCCACACTAATTGTTCATCAAATTGTGTAAAAGTATTCATCCAATTAAAATAGAGGAAAATATACACAATTTTTCCATTATTGCTATTTTATATTTTTGATAAAATGGTACCACTTTACATTAAGGTTGTACTGTATTAGTTACTATTAGTTAATGTATTTGCTAGCATTAACAAACAATGTACAATACATTTATTACAGTATTTATTCGTCTGTGTTTGTTAGTTCATGAAAAAAAAATTGTTCATTGTTAGTTTAACTCACAGTACATTAACTAATGGTAACAAGCATTTTAATAATGCATAAGTAAATGTGGAACTATGATTAGTAAATGCTGCACAAGTGTTGTTCATTATTAGTTCATTTTAAATACACGATGAAATGAATGAAACATTGTAATGACCAATAAAGTGTGACGAATAAACCAATTATTGTCTGACAAATAAAATTTGTAATGTTAAAACAAATCAGTTGTTTTTCAGAACTAATGTGTTCCTAAATGGTTATGTTATGGTAAAAAAATGTATTACTATTGATAGTGTTTTGTATGTTTGTGCCAGAGGTCTTCTGAGTGCCAAATCCTTGCTGGGCACTATCCGGAGGTCAGATAACACTCTTAGTGTCGGTCTGGTGGTTAATTACCTCTTCAAGCGATTCAAGCGGTTTGTTTTCTTATCTTTACAGATTTCACAAAGATTTTTTCAGGGTTGATTTTTCTGATGATCTCCTGATATTCTTGGCAGGATTCAGCCTCTGCACCTCTTCATTGTGTGCCTGGTCATCAGCCTCTTCTCTGTGGTTCCGAGAGGAGTTTTCTGGTTCTTTGCGGAGGATCAGGTCTTAAGCTGTAAGAAATACTGGTGGTCAAACCTGCTCCTCATCAATAACCTCCTCACCATTACTGACATTGTATGGCTAATTTGATTAATTAGAAGATTTGTTTGATTGCAGCATATTTAAAGAATGGCATTATTACATTTTTTACGTTTTTATTTTGTAGTGTGCACCCTGGACTTGGTACCTTTCCATTGATTTCCAGTTTTACGCAACAACACCTTTACTGATATTCCTGTACAGAATGTAAGTTCAGTCCATTTGCATATTGTATATTATAAATTAAATAATTATATTTTCTAGTATGTAACTCACTCTGAAAATGCTGTAAAATGTACAGTATTACTGTTAATTGTGGTTGTCAATTTTGTAAAAGATGTAAATATGATCCAGATGTGTTTCATTTTGGAAACGTCACCCTGCACATATCTACACTGTAAATAATTGATGTACATTTTACAGTATTACTGTCAATTTTGGTTGCTAGTAATACTGTAAAATGCAGCACCGTAAATCAATCATTACAATTCTGCTGTAAAACTACAGCACAGTTATGATTATTATCTTGCAATGCGCCTGTGAATTTAGTCAGTAATACTGTAAAATTTACAAGCATATTGTACATTAATAATTACAGTTGTGCTGGATACTCTATAGCAAAGTTGTAAGTGTTAATTTACTGTGCGCTTGTACATTTTGCCAGTAATAATGTAAAATTTACAAGCTCACTGTAAGTTAAAAATTATAATTGTGCTGTAGTTTTACAGCAGTATTGTAATTATTGATTTACGGTGCACTTGTACATTTTACAATATTACTGGCAACCAAAATTTCCAGTAATACTGTACATTTTACAGCAATTATTTACAGTGTAGATATTTTCAGGGTGATGTTTACAAAATGAAACACATCTTGGTCATATTTAGTAAATTAAAAGAAAAATAAAAGATTTTTAAAGGGCACCTATGATGAAAATCCACTTTTGAAAGCTGTTTGGACTGTGTGTATGTCCACTGTCATATTGTAGTGATAGAATCTTCAATAATAAAGCAGACATGCACGTCATGCTGTGGGCATGGAGAACCATTTACACTTAAAGCCTCAGGCCACAAAAACAGCTACATTGTGATCAGGCACCAGAATGGGCAGATTCTACATTATATAATAAATGATCTGCTGGGTGTTTTGAGCTAAAACTTTACAGACACATTCTGGAGACACCAATGTCTTATCCTACATCTTGTAAAAGGGGTAAAATAGGTGCCTTTTAAGATCTAAATTTTAACTCATTAATAATACATTAAATTGGTACTAATTATTGAATTTCCATCTTTTCTAATTAGAAATAATCTTTTATTTTAGTTAATTTTGATCTATTTATTTATTTTAACTAGCCCCACAATTTTGCATGGTAATGTATCAGTAATAAAAGCTTTTCACACCACTCTAATAGAGTACAGTGTTAGTCATAAATAAGAAATAATCAGAAATCATAGTTCGTTTAAAGCAAATCAGGAAGTCTATTTTTAAAACTATTTTGAATACAATATTATTATTACGCGTTTTTGCTTATTTTCAGGAACAAGTGTGCACTTGTGGTGGTGTCAGTTGTTCTCTTAATGCTGTCGAGTGTAACAGGAGCCCTGATCACCAGTTTCCTGCATCTGCCTGTGCACCAGCCAACCACACTGTAAGAGATCATTTCTTAATTACAAAATTAAACTGATGCGATGTGATCACACAGCATGTCTGAACCACTATGATTACAGCCTCTATAGCAGATGCGGAGTGCAATACTGAGGCAGTTTTAGTACGATTTTTTTATGACCTATTATTAAGGCAAGACACTCCAGGAGAACAGGATAAAGAAATTGAACCAATAATTATCATCAAACTATCATCAAACTCCAGCTTATTGATTTCATTATGAATTGCTAACATTTTTTTTTATTTTCTAAAATGTTATGTTAAATATGCAAAAGGGGTATTGTTTCATTAAATGCGCTCTAATTTGCATTCAATTCTAGCACAAAAATCTGAAAAAAAAAAAAACATACAGTGGGGGAATCAAGTATTGAACATGTCACCTGTGGCGCGATACGCGCGAATGATGTGAATGGCCTGATAATGGCCCGAGAAATAAGACTTAGGTTCGAAGATCGATCAGAGGCTTCAAATAAGTTTAAATTAATTTAATGAATCAAATGGATAAAGCATACAGGGTCTAGGTGGCAGAGCACATTTCCTCTTCCCCCCATATTTATCGTAATCTCTCTTCAGCCCCACCCAGGGGGGCTCCAGTAAGATAGATCCTTCATCAGCCGAATCATCAGTTGTCAGGCTGAACAAATGATCTGCACAAAAAAAGTTACGCACACACATAACAGAACACACAAGACAGAGTGAGCCTGCACCCTCCCATCCGTGCTAGATGGAGAAGGCAGTGCAGCCTAAAAGAAAGAATGGTAACATTTTACTGATAACAAGTTGTCAGAAATTATCTTCTTGGTTATCAGTCACACGAAGCCACAGTTGTTATGGAGCAAGGTTTTAAGAGGTTAAGCACACAAACATAAGTTCATTTATTTGATTAAAACTGTTAAATTATTAATCTTTGAACCTGGGAGACTAGGGGGAGGTCCAAAACTGGCTATATTCACACTGCTGTTGCCACACAACTGTATTTAAAGTGTTTTTTGCATAACAGGTCCCGTTTAAATCCACTGACCCACATAAGTAAAAGTCTCAAATTTGACAGATGCATTTCAGACTGTTGAAATTCTGTACCGGTTGACTTGTTTTCAGAGCATACGAAAGCTACTTTCAGTATTACTACAACAAACCCTACACAAGATATGGGCCGTATCTGCTGGGTGTTCTTGCTGGAATATACATGACAACCAAGAAAGAGGCACTCATAAAGCACCAGGCAATGTCTTTAATGTTTTTCTTGAGCTACTTTTTGAGTTTACGGTCATGTAACGGATGGTTTTTGTTACGTGGCAGTGGCAGGCAGTGATTGGCTGGCTCTGCTCGCTGTCAGTCATGGCTCTGCTAGTGGGATTGGCTTATGTGCTGAGAGACGTCCCGCCCCATCTGTCCATTCCACACGCCATTTATCAGGGGATCCACCGATCACTGTGGGCTCTGGCTCTGATTTGGATCATCCTGGCCTGTGAGGAAGGATATGGAGGTAAAAACTAAAATTTGGATAACATATGGTCAGATATGGGAGTTTGTGTTCAAAGTGAGATGTAAATAAAGTCAGAATTATGAAACGTAAACTCACAATTTATAATTCCGACTCTTTCCCTCAAATTCTAACTCAGATTTCCAAAAAAAATCAGAAATGTAAAATTGAAATATATAGTTAGTCACTTTAATTTAAGGTACAATTCTTGCAGTTAACATACCATTAACAATGGCTTTTAGGTCAATAAACTCCTGCATATTAATAGTTAGCAAGGTAGAAGCTGAGTTAAGGTGTTAAGTGGGATTAGGTATGTTCTGTAGAATAAGAACATACTTTATAGGTAAACAGGCAATGTTTTAGCAGGTAATAAACCAGTAGCAAATAGTAGGAATTGGAGCTTAAACTAAAGTGTTTACCAAAAGTTGGTATTGGGAAATGTATGCATAATATTCTGAGGAAAAAGTCCAAATTGCAAAATGTGAATTCATATATATAAAACAGTATCCTAAGAGTAGAATTACAAGAAAAAAGTACATTAAAATACAGTCGTCCCTCGTTATTCACAGGAGTTACATTCTAAAAATAACCCACGATAGGCTTAAGTCATGAAGTAGTCCGCTTCATTTTTTAAATATAGATGTTTTAGCGCTGTAAAACCCCTCACTACACATTTAATACACTTTTCTCAGACAGGCATGAACATTTTCAGCCTTTTCTCTTTTCTTTAAACACTCTCAAAGTTCAAACTTTCTTAGAAAAATAAGTCCAGTATTATTAAATGTAACCAAAGATCAGAACCTGTTGTCATGCGCAAACATTCATCGCTGTCTACATAGGGTTCATAAACCTTTTTAACTTTTGTGTGGATAATGTTATACATTGTGGATACAGTCATATGTAAGTTACACACATCGGACGCGCACATTCGCATGTTCTTTAAAATAAAAATATTTAGATGGCGCTCTGTGGCGCGGCAGAAATATGAACCGTGTCCTCAGTTGTAGCTGGGCACCCCAGACAGCTGCTGACTTGCAGCGCCGGTGTGCGTACTCTGATATAAACCTATGTTTATGGAGCTGCGTAATGCGGCACATTTTTTGTGCGACCCTCTTTATGACGGTCTTGCGGCGGACAGTTACAACCCTTTTTGCATCCTTGCGATCGTTGATTAATGTTAAATTGGGAAGCTGAACACTTCTGTACTACACAGGAGACATGGAGAAGATTGATTGACAATTGTCTATAACCAATCAGTCTGCAGAACACAATGCACCGTAAAATAATTATAAAAATAAGCATGTCAAATTGCACAAAAAAAAACTGCGAGGAAAAAAAGGTCAAAAATAAAATAAAAACTCAGAAAAATAAACTGTTAAAATGTATTAAAAAAGTGTAAACTTGGTATTCTGAGGTAAAATCGTAAGAATTATAAAATGCTAATTTAAAAGTCAAAGGAAAAGAGTCAGAATAGTAAAATAGAACTGTAAAATTCTAAGAAATAAAAGGTTAAAAAAAGCAGTCTAAACTCAGAATTCTGTGGTAAATTGTCTAAATTTAGAGATGCAAACTTGGAATTCAAAGAAAAAAGTTAGAATCGTGAAATGTATTCAGGATTATGAGATGAAAACTCTAAATTGTAAGGAAAAACTGTTTAAAATAACAAGATATAAACTAAAAATGAAGAGGCTTGGTGGTTAGCACTGTGTGGAGTTTGCATGTTTGTGTAGGTTTTCTCTGGGTAGTCCGGTTTTCCCCACAATCCAAAGACATGCACTATAGGTGAATTGAGTATATACTGTATAGTGGGTTATATATAAGTATATTTAGTATTTAGTGTGTGTGTGTGTGTGTGTGTGTGTGTGTGTGTGTGTGTGTGTGTGTGTGTGTGTGTGTGTGTATATATATATTAGGTGTATATATAGCGTGTGAATCCAAGAAGGGCATCTGCTGCGTAAAACATATGCTGGAATAGTTGGCAGTTCGTTCTGCTGTGGCGACCTCTGATAAATAAGGGACTAAGCCGAAGGAGAATGTATAAATGAAACTCAGAATTGTGAGATTAAAGCTTTGTACTGAAATGCTGACATAAAAAAAACATTTGAGATAAAAGTTCTAGTTAACTTCTTGGCAAAACAGTATATTATACACCTTATTACATGCTTACTTCTTGAAATAACATTTAACCATAATTGTGTTTCTGCTGGACCAGTAGAAAGGCATGAAATCAATTATCTGTTCTTACAGGGTTTGTGGACACATTTCTGTCTTTAAGCCTTTGGGCTCCTCTGTCCAACATCAGCTTTGCCTGTTATCTGATCCATCCCATCATTATTATACTGTACAACGGCAAACAGGAGATAACCATGCACTACACAGACTTCAACTTTGTAAGTATTCCCTTCAAATATATGCAAATGAGGGCACTGCATTTTACATGACATTGTATACCGGACATTTTACCTACTGTTAAAATAAAAAAAAACTAGTGCTGGGTAAAAATTAATCACATCCAAAATAAAAGTTTGTTTGACTTGCTATATGTGTGTGCAATGTGTATTTATTATGTATATATAAATACACACATGAATGCATATATTTGAGAAGATTTTTATTTATATTAAGATATAAAATATGCATATGATGCAAATTATATAGAAATTTTAATGTCAAAAAAATTGTTTTAGTTTTGTTTTTATGTATGTGTGTGTATTGCATACACATAATAAATATATTTAATAAACACACACATATATAAATGTTGAAACAAACTTTTATTTTGAATGCGATTAATCACAATATTTTTGCCCGGGACTAATTTTTTTATGTATTTTGAAAGTCTATTATGCTGCATTTATTTGATCAGAAATACAGAAAAACTAAATATTCATGCTATTTAAAGTGACTGTCAGCTATTTTTTAATGAATTTTATGGCACGACAGTGCACAATATATTATATGTTATAACTAACATTTATCACTATACTACTTTCCCCAGTTTATATATTACAAATCTTATTTTATATTTCCTAATGTATTACATTTTCTAAAATGTAATTGTAGAAATATGCAAATGAGACATTATTTAATTTAATATATGCTAATTTACATACGTTCTAGAACACAAATCTAAACATTGGATGAAGACAGGTTCAAAATTCTTGTTTTTTATCCTATTACAGTCATAGGTTTTTATTTTGAGGATTTTGGAAGCCTCTTATTTTATTGGTACATAGTTCAGAAAATACTGTAAACAAATCTAATTTTGTGGAATTAAATGTTGCATACATTAGGCAAATTATGCATAACAAACAAATCCCTCTGTAAAATACAATAAAAATGTGAAGTTTGCTGTAAGTGCTGCTGAGATTTATGGCTAACTTTGAGAAAACTGCCTTTAAAAATATGTATTGTATTTGAAATAGAAACTTTTCTTATTATTAAGAGTGTTAACAGCAGCTACTTAATATTGTTGTGGAAATTATTATGCATTTTTACGAATATTTTTAATGATTAGAATATCTTTGTAACAATGTAAATGGATTTTAAAGTCTAATATCATTGTTAGTGTGAATAACGTCTTCTTTTCTCTCTTGTTTTCTGCCCTCAGTTCTACCTGTTTCTGGGTCACCTGGTGTTGAGCATCTTCATAGGATATGTGTTAACTGTGCTGATTGAAAAGACGTATCTCTTCCAGCCGAAACGATAAGTCCTGCTGCGTTCCCTTAGAACTGGAAGCCAGAGGAAAAGATTAATAAACAGATTTAAATAAATTTGAGCAAGATTTACATACAATAAATTTATTCCCCCATTTCATTCTGTATGACTGTAGATAACTGTCTGTGAACATTGTTAGACAGCTTTGGTGTTGTTTTTAGAGTGTGTAAAATAAACGATTTATTCAAGTGCTGAATTATTACATGCCGAGTTCAATATAGTATATGTTGTCATATATACATACAATATTTAACAACTATATACATGTGTACACACAGCTATGGAAAGAATTCAACTTAAAAATGAATCAAAATTTCTCACTTTTGGGATTTATAATTTATAGTTTTGTGTTGTAGTAAAATGTCATTTTTATTATTTTCCATAAACTACTGATGCCATTTCTTCCAAATGTAAAAGACAAAATGTCATTCAGAGCAGTTTGTTTTGCATGAAATAAAGTTTTTAGACATGTTTTATTTTATACAAGAGAATAGCAGAAATCAATATGGAGGAATTGGTGAAATACCCCGGATTTTCAATAGCAAACCCTGTCCAAATATCATTTTCAATAATGTTAGGCCCAATCCCAATTCTGCCCATTAGCCATTCCCCTTACCCCTACCCCTCGTTTTGAGCATTCACATCAAGAGTTAGGGGTGTCCCAATTTTCTTTAGCTTTAAGGCGTAGGGCTAAGGGGAAGGGGTTTCAGGACCACACTCGAAAACAAGCAAGTAGGTATCGCTGCAGCCTCTGAGACCTCCAAGGGGGAGGGATTACAGCGCAAGTAGGTTAGGGGACCTCCAAGTGGGAGGGACTTAAAATAGTAAATCCACAGATTCTTGGAATTTTCCATAGCTATTTATATATATATATATATATATATATATATATATAAATATATATATATATGCACACACACACACACACACACACAACAGTTCTGTCTGGTTCTTCAATCTGATTGGCTGATAGCTGTGCAATATTTTGCCAGTAACATCACACAAAGGCCTCTTCACCCTTCACCTTTGTGTATTACTCCGCCCACATACAGTCAGCAACAAGCAGAAAGACACTGCAGTTTGATAAATAATACTGCTGTTAGACAACATAATGTACTTTTGACTTTTTTAGTTTATAAAAGTTTATAAAAAAGTTTATAAAGTTTAGTTTATAAAAATAGTGCCTATTTTAAAATATTTACAATTTCTAAGAGGCGGCCATTATTCTGCCATAGAGTAGACCAAAGGCAGTTGATGTTTTCTATCCACAAGATGGCGACAGAACTGCATAATAAGCCCTTACGCTTAGAAGATTATAACAGTCTGATTTCTAACTACAGCTGATCAAATCATTAAACTGGTAAGCATACCTGCCAACACTCTTGTTTTTCCAGGGAGTATCCCGTATTTCAGACGAATCTCCCGCAACCATTGCGTTTTTTATTTCTTTCGAAAAACCTATATATGAATATAATATATAAATGTATATAAATATATATATCAATATATATAAATATATACAGTTGAAGTCAGAATTATCAGCCGCCCTTTGATTTTTTTTTTTCTTTTTACATATTTCCTAAATGATTTTTAACAGAGCAGGACATTTTCACTGTATGTCTGAATATTTTTTTTTTTGTTCTGGAGAAAGTCTGATTTTTTTTTTAAACACCATTTTAGGGTCAACATTTTTTGCACCTTTATATATTTATATTTATATATTTTTTCAATAGTCTACTGAACAAACCATCGTTATACAGTAACTTGCCTTATTAACCTAATAATTCTGACTTCAACTGTGTGTGTATGCGTGTGTGTTTATTTGTGTGAAATGTAAAAAATGCTTGGTTCCACCCATTACATTCCAATGTCCAAAAAAACGTATCATTTTAAATAGTTTGAACAGAGATCAAAAGTAATTTTTTGAGTGCGTGCGTGAGTGTGTATGTGTGTGTTAGGAAGGGCTAGGTGTTTGCACTGGTTTAAAAGTGTGGCTTGAATAAGTAGTCAACTGTTAAAGTGGTCAACAAGGAAGTATGACAGAAATATAATGCAGAAAATAAATGTAATGATGACGCATCACAGATGAAACGAGCTCATAACAATAAGCAGACGTCAGCAACTGAAGTGTGTTTGAGGACAACACGTTTTAATTGTGGGAAGTGAGTCATTTAACAATCCATCATTGTGAATTATCATCCCATTAGACACTCAACCAGAAAGCTACCAAACAACGCTGTATAAAATCTGTGGATGGCGTAAAAATATTGACACATATGAAGCATGCATGCATTATATAGCCTATGCATAACATGAGTCCACATTATAAACGGTGTGGTCGCTGTAATCAGAAAAGCTGTATCATATGAATCATTTGAGAACAATTAACATCAAGAGACCAATCAACCCTTCAAGAGGACAATTAGCTGTTGGACAATAACAAATTACAGAAGTACTTTAAACAGCAAGACAAGTTTAGACTCAAATGAACCTACTGCAACTCTGTTATGCTCTTTTTGCAATATAAATGTATATACACTACTTTAATATGAAGCAAATGGTAAGCATCAACTATTAAATAACTTCTAAATAATTCCACCAGAAATGTGTTAAAAAGCCTTTAAAATTTGCAGTCTAAAACAAGTATTCATATACATATATTTAAGAAATGCATTTTTAAATTACAGTACCAAAAATAATTTTTAATTACAACTTGTATAACCATAGTTTTATTCTATAAATCAGGGGTCACCAACCCTGTTCCTGGAGAGCTACCTTTCTGCAGAATTCAGTCCCAACCCTGATCAAACACACCTGAACCAATTAATAGTACCTAAAGCAGCACTTGATAATTACAAACAGGTGTGTTTGGTCAGGGTTGCAACTGAAATGTGTAGGAAGGTAACTCTCCAGGAACAGGGTTGGTGACCCCTGCTATAAATACTATAGTTGAACTTCATTAAGCATTTTTTTATTTGTAGTATGGTTAATTTTCGTAAGAGATAACTTTTGACAGTTTTCTTTGGAAATTACAGGTCAATTTAAATGCATTGCGGGATGCAGAATTCTGGTAAGTGTTTTTATTATTGTATTTTAGTAAACTCTTATTGAATACTGCTCATTAAAACAACTGGCAATCCAAGTATGCTTTGCTAATTCAACCATTGTGTACACTACTATTAGATATACAGGGTGGGAAATACAGAGGGGTCTGACTGCCCTAATTAATGCTTGATCCCTCTGAAGAAGCATTTCAAACACACACACAAAACTCCCAACTAGATGTGTGTGGGTAGGGGCTGCACGATTAATTGAAAAAAAAAAACCATCTCGATCTACACACGATCTTAATTGAGCTTTTCTACTATTCAGCCAATTATATTTTTAAGGTCAGGAGAGAAGCAAGGCACTCGCACAAGTCTTCACAGCAACATTGACATGTTCAAATGGCGTTAAAAGTGTCACATACTGTTTTTATAAGGTAATTCACCCAGAAATGTCATTTCTGTCTTAATATAATGATGTATTTGTGGCTACGAAATTACACGTGAGCTGACCGTGAGCTGTTTGACGCCTACTTTAGTGAACACAACCTGCATAGGCTGTTAATAACAGGTAATGAAGTTGTAAATTGCATTCAGTTTGTAAATAGCGATAGTTTGAGGGCCGTGCGGGAGGTTTGATTTGCATGTGTGTGTTTTTTTCACACACATATGTAGCCATGAGCCGCACTCGGAAGTGAAACTGAAACCTGTGCGCACATCATTTAAATGATCATATCGCATTTTAGAGTTATGATTACGACAAACATTTAATATGTTTTTTCTTTCACAGCGAACACAAAGTGTTGGGCATGAAAATAAATGTTTACTGTGTGAATATAACAACCCTAGTCTATGTAATGTTGAAGCCAGAGTATGTATCGCGGTCGGAAATAACACGATAAATAGGCATATATTTTGTCCCAACACTAATTCACAACTCAACAAAACTAAAACGAAAGTCACTCAGAAATTTCAAACACTCTGGGGGGGCCCTAAGCAGCCGCTTAGTTCGCTTATGCCTTGGGCCGGCTCTGCTGATAATGACAAAATTCTAATTTTACCAGTGAAAACAAATGGTCTAATAATGTTGTCAATTACAGTTGACAAGCACATGTCTTAAACAAATGAACTTTATAATTATGAATATTTATATTTGAATGCCATAATTTTACTGTGAATTAACAAACAGGACATTGAAAGTCTGTTCAAGTCCATCATAACGAAAATACAAAATTTAGCATTTTAAGCAACAGTAAACCTACACATATAGGCCAATATATATATATATATATATATATATATATATATATATATATATATATATATATATATATATATATATATATATATAATACACATATTGTTGTTTTACCATATGTTTGAAAATTTGCAATACTAATAGGCTAATCATATTAACCTTTATTTTACATTTACAGAATCTTGAGAAAATCGTGATCTTGATTTTAAGCAAAAAAATCGTGATTCACATTTTTGCCAGAATTGTGCAGCCCTAGTGTGGGGTCTGGAAAATAAATTTCACCAATATGTACCGGAAATTATAAAAATAAGTTATAAATGTAAATTTAACCCACCAGGCCCCAATAATGGTATATACCAATGCCATGATCGCGGCCAACAGAAAGGCGGGAAAAAATATCCAGTCAGTGTGGTCTGAATAAGGCGGTTCTAGTCCACAGACACTGTAAGTTTTCAAAAGAAACTTTTTTTCCTTGTAAATCGGGTTGTTTATATCTACATATAGCCTTAAAGTAAAGTCAAATTAGACCCCGTTTGTTTATTTTACTACAGTTGTAAAATTGCTTTACAAATAAGTTTTATTATCGCCAGTTTAGTTTAATTAGCCTATTGTTGTTAGCATATATAATATAGCCTATTATTGTTAGCATATAGAACCTCTTTATAATATCAAAGCATTTTTAATCAATATCTTGGGCATGTTTCAGGCCAGATTACCATGTGAAAATGGATATGTTGGATAAATAAATAGCAAGTGATGAACACCACTGCATTGTAATACAAAGAACTATGATTTGAAGCGCCCGTAGCACGATTACGATGTAAAGTTATTGTATTGTTAATTGTGTTTATATCAATAACTTCATATGTGTTGTATAGGACGTATCTCTACCTGAAAT